GAGAAGTTATTTTTTTATAACTTGTACTCTTGCAACTTCAGAACTTTCACCAAGATTTCTTCTGCCTCGGCCCCACACATGGTGAAGTTAACGGCAATCTTTTCATTTCTCCTGATGCCAAAGGATCTGACAGTGTATTTAGCTCTGGAGAACACATTGAGTCCTGGCCTGTGAAGTCTAGTCAGCATCCAGTAGTCTTAGAAACAAGGTCTGGCTCTGCTGACTATTGAGACAGTTTTCAGTCAAACTAAACATTATATCTTGGCCATCACTGCATGGGTCCAGAGACCCCATTCACCTCATCCACCTCCATCAAGTGGCCGAGGACACACTTCTCCCCAATCCAATCCACTGCATACTCTTAAGGGAAGAGCAGGAGCAGGAGCAGGAGGGAGGAGTTAGCTCAAACACAGCATTCTAGAGATTGCCTGTGCCCTAAGGCAACTGTTTCAGTAGTCCCTTTAGTCCAAGCTTTCCTCTGAATTAGCTCAGCTCTGCAACTGAGGTCTCCAAAAATAGGCCAGATTAGGTTTAAACAAAACAAATTTCTCTGTTTTTCTGAATCTGTGAGTTAACCTCTAAGCCTAGATTACTTTCCTGTTGGCAAAATCCTCCAGGAGGCCCTCACCTAAATGACCTCCAGAGTTAACTATTCTTCCCTCTTTATCATCACTGCACCTTGTACATATTTAGATGATTGCACTTGCACACGATTTATACTTCCCAGGTCTGCCTCCCTTACTAGACTGCTCATCTTGAGGACAAGTATTGTGCCTGATTCATCTTGACCTTGGACTAGCACCTTCATCTTGGACCTAGCACAGGACACAGCACTTAATAAGTAACAAGTGGCCGTGGCTGGTGTGGCTCAGTTGGTTGGAGCGTCGTTCTATGCACCAGAAGGTCAAGGGTTCGATTCCCAGTGAGGACACATACCCAGGTTTCAGTTCAATCCCCAGTCAGGGTGCGTGCGGAAGCCAATTGATCTGTTTCTCTCTCTCTCCCCCTCTCTCTAACATCAATGAAAAACATATCCTTGGGTGAGGATTTAAAAAAAAAAAAAAAAAATCAGCTTAAAATAATAATTATCCCAAAGAGGCATATTTTGGGGTGGCAAATTCTGCTTCTCATCATCAAGCACACTCTAGTTTGTAAGGGGTGATGAATCAATTATTATTTCACACCTAGATGGAGGGCCTTGTACACTAGGAGCTTTTTTCTCTTCCTCTTTCAGCGGTGAGAGACCCTCTCTTCCCAGGTGGGAAAATGTAGTTTGTGAAGCCAGCGAAACTGATTCACATAGAAATGACTGTAAAAGTTCCAGAAGGCAAACAACAGGACTAGTAATTTCAATCTTCCAGTGATTATAGTTATTGTGTTTAGGAAGAAACTCCTCCCTTCCTGCCTTCAAACTCCTCCCCTCCGCTGTCCTCACTACTTTTGCAAGGCCAAAAACTCTCTTAAAATGGAATTTCCTTCCTTTTAGGAATCAAGTGTAAACATCTACTCTGAAGTCCATAACATGACCTGTTTTCCTGAATGACTCTTAGTCTTGAATAATAATCTCAGCCCTTGGGTTTAGAGGTGGGTATTGGAAATTTATCCAGGCTTTTGAGTAAAGGAGGTAATATTACCGCCTACATAATCAGGGGTTGACTAACGGGACTCTATCTCAAGGCCCTATCTCCTGTCTTTCACACCCACCTACAAAGGAGAATCATAGGATTATAGAATTGCAAAAAACCTTTAGATTCTGTAACGCACACCATTATGCAGATGAAGAAGCCGAGGCTCAACTTAGGCTATTGAACCTAAGTTGTTCACAATGACCAGTGTACATTAGAATATGGAGTTCCCAATTTAAAAACTGTTTTCTTTCCACTCTATCACACTGAGTTATGTATTTCTACTTGGTTTACTATAAAGTCATTATAGCCATAAATTTAACTTTAACATCTTTTTTGAGATTATAATTTACATACCATACACTTCACCTATTAAGTGTACAATTCAGTGGTTTTTAGTTTATTAAGAGCTATGTATCCATCACCACAATCAATTTTGGGCTAACGTTTTCATTAGCCCCAAAAGAAACCCCATACCTATTAGCAGTCACTCTTATTTTCCCTCATTCCCCCAGCTAGCCCTAGGCAACCACTATTCTTTCGTATGTGGTCATTTGTGACTGGTTTCTGTTACTTAGCATAATATTTTCAAGGTTCATACATGTTGTAGCATGTATGTTTCTTTTTATTGCTGAATAATAAATATTCTATTACATGCATACACCGTATTTTATTGATCTATTCAACAGTTGGATATTTGGCTGAATTTTATTTTTTTATATTGATTTTAGAAAGGGAGGAAGGGAGAAAAAGAGAGAAAGATCAATATGAGAGAGACACATTGATTGGCTGCCTCCTGTAACCACCTGGATTGGGATCAAACCTCACCCTAGGTATATGCTCTAACTGGGAATAGTACCTATAAACCTTCCTGGGCACAGGATGAAACTCCAAACAATTGCCAGGGCTGAATTTTATTTTAAACAACTGTAATTTCTGATAGCCAGCAGAGGCTTAAAATCTAGACATAAATATATATATATATATCTCACATCTATGTTGAATTTATACTAAAAGCAGCATAGTTATGACAAATTTATTATAACTGCATACCTGAAAATCAACAAAAATTTTCTTTTCTCTAAATTTTCTGATATGTATGATAATATTGTGGAAAGACAAAGTAAAGCCCTGCCCTAAATTTTTCCGCTACTCTGACTCCCAGGAAAATAGAGGTTATGTAGATTGCATGATACTCCTCTGGAAGAGAAGACAAAAGAAAGATCCGGAGCAAGACTCTCTGTTTCTGGTTTCAAATGTGAGATTTAGAAGGGGCACTTGGGGCTCACACCCAACAAATTGATCAGCCTAAGATCCAGACATACAAACAATACAAGGATGATGTGGGGTGAAGGTGAGAAAGGGGGACAGTACAGGCTACAAATTCAGTCCAGTGTGACTCGAAGGGTTAGTATTTTCATTTTTGTCCTGTGTTTATAGGTTGGCTCTCTCTCAACCTCCATACATTTTCGTGGGTCTCCAGATGGGTCCAGATTGAGAGACTTTGGGGAACTAGCTCGTTACTTGGTAGGAAGAACTTGAAATTTGTAAACACCAAGTTGTGGATATTTATGATCTTGCGAGGTGGCTGCTCCCCCCACTAAACCCTTGTTTAGCCAAGTGCTTCCTCCCCAGGCCCCCATTCTTATGACAGTCAGACCGGACCGCAGAACTCCTGAGTCACCTGCTTCGGAGAGAAGCAGTTTTGGGGAGTGTCTTAGTTCCATTTTTGAAGCTAAACGAGAACGCCGGAAGCGACCCTTGACTCAGCCCGCCTAAGGCTTGGCGGTTGTGTCATTCCCCACACGTGATGCCATCCCAGGCGGCGGAGACTCGAGTATCACGGGGCTTTTTCACTCCAGTGACTCCACTCCTTTTCTTCTCTATTCCTCAACACCCCCGCCCCCACTTCCCCGCTTCGCCC